AAGTAATCGGTAATTAGTTACTGATTACTTTTTTCAAGTAACTTGACCAACACTGGTAGCTACAGACTTATATCTTTTTAAGGGCCGTTACCTGATGTGTTAATTTATAATACAGTAATAACAATTTTTAATATCATAATTTCATCCATCCATTCCCTTCCGCTTTTCAGGGTCACGGGGGGTGCTGGAGCCAATCACAGCTGTCTTTGGGTGAGAGGCGGGGTACACCTGGACAGGTCATCAGTCTGTCGCAAGGCTAGCTCTTCATTTTTTCTTAACATGTAATATTAAAAAACTAAAATAATAATATGTAATATTAAAAAACTAAAAATAAAATAATAAATAGGTACTTGATAAATATATGTCATACTCAAAGTTTGGTTTGTTTTATTACAGATTCTCTTTATATTTGTAACTTTTCATGCAGAATAATAAGTACTTGCAAAGGAATTTTTTCTGTTTAAATCTGCATGTTTACTCTTTTTTTATATAACAGTTATTTTCACATTTGAGTCTTTTTTATTGATTTTTTCATTCCAGCTAAAAACATGAGACATTTCTGAAGATAAATTCAAGAAAACCAGCGATTTGTCTGGCAACTCTTAATACTCTATTGAAAATGCACCCAGAATCCTCTGCTGAATTTATGAAAAATCCTTTTAATCTACTGCAAAGTAAAATGTATTTTTCAGGCTGTTTCACAAAATGCAACTATATTTCTTCAACCAAACAAACAGGATGTTTTCTTTTTTCCAGCAGAGGAGAGGAGTCACTGAGGATTTGTGGCTTCAAAAATCCTCAAACGACCTGCTGAATGTTTCAAAGTTTGTCTTCTGGCTTTTATGTGTGACTTGAATGAAGCAATGCAAAACTTTCAAAATGCTTTCCTTGGAGGCACATACTGAGCTGCATTTGTTCAGAATTCCTTTCCTTGAAAGCAGTAATCTACAGGATCCTCGTGTTTTAAAGCAACATCTTTGACACCGAGAGCTTAGCGCTGTTTTTTGGTATTTAAACTTTGGCTGAATTTGAGTTTATGGTGTTTTTTCTCAATCCTGGGCTTTCTTTTGTTTCCCTATCTAAAGCCAGTGTTGGGGAGTAACGGAATACATGTACCGCCGTTACGTATTTAAAATACAAAATATGAGTAACTGTATTCCGTTACAGTTACCGTTTAA